TTGCATCTGTAACCTATAGCCCTGGAACTCTCAAGTAGTACCCATCCAAGTGTTAAAGCAGCTAAACAGATCGTACTTGACTTCTGAGCTCATACAGGTTTGGCTAAATGCTTTTACTTGACGAGGCTCAATTATTTATATCATGTTTATTCACTAGCTTTCAGTGGCCTATTGTTCTGTTCGTCAGTGAATGAGAAACAACCCCTTCCATTCACAAGTAATTATTGCAGAAGCATTCTTCCTTTTGGTAAATAAACTTTAAATGTAAATTTTATTTTAGATGAATGAAGAAAAGAACTCATTAAGGAAAGATATGTCCCTGAGATCAGTGTGTGCTGCCATGAGCTGTACAAGAAAGATAGCTACACATAACTGGTTAATCATGGGTTCAGGCCAGGAATCTTAACAATACTGTATATCGCTCTTCCTCAGATCATAGCTATAGGAATGAGTTAGCATTATGCTGTTTTTTTGTCATCCAGAATTTTAAACAGTTAACAGAGTAGCTGCTATAAATAGCTACATAAAGGTGACATCAATCAATGTGCAAAAATGTTGCTATGCCTATATACAGTTATTTACAAAGACGTTTAAAGCCAACCTCTTTAACACATTCTTTGGCTCGGTATTTGTAAACAGCAATGGATCATGCCCAGTATTTCCTAGTCATACCACCAACAACTACAATGATCTAATACATATCGATTTTACAGTGGACAATGTTGAAAAAGCACTACACAATCTAAAACCATCTCTATCTATTGGACCGGATAGAATATGTGCCTACTTCTTAAAAAAGCTATCCACTGCCATAGCTGAACCTCTAAGCATAATCTTCGAAAAATCTTTCAGGACCAGCTCCTTGCCAAAACTATGGTCACAAGCATGGTCATCCCCATTTTCAAAAAGGGAGACCCCAGCCTAGTTGAAAATTATAGTCCAATCTCTTTATGCTGCGTCACCTGTAAAGTCATGGAATCAATTATTAACCAATACATTATCCACCACTTAGAGACAAACAACCTACTCTCTAATAAACAATTTGGTTTCAGAAAAAAACTATCCTACAATCAGCAACTTTTACACTGCAAAAACATATGGACTACTCAATTCGATCCGGGCCAAGCAATAGACGCAATCTACATAGACTTCTGTAAAGCCTTTGATTCAGTGGTACATGACAAACTACTCCTAAAACTAAAATCTTATGGTATCTCTGGATACCTGCATAACTGGATAGAAGTATTCCTGTCAAACAGACAACAAATGGTCAAAATTGGAAGCATCCTATCAAATTCTGTACCTGTCAATAGTGGTGTCCCCAAAGGTAGTGTTCTAGGACCAACTCTCTTCATACTCTACATAAATGACCTCTGTGATCATATTAAGAGCAACTGTGTTCTCTTCGCTGACGATGTAAAGCTATTCAACACCACAGACAATACTGCTATCCTTCAAAAAGACCTCGACTATGTATGAGAATGGTCAAACAAATGGCAACTTCAAATCTCAACAAATAAATGCTCTGTCTTACATATTGGCAAAAAAAATCAGAAAATAAAATACAGGCTGAATAGTCAAGACCTTGTTCATGATCCAAACTCTGTCAAGGATCTTGGAGTACTCATCTCTAATGATCAAAGTGCTAGAGCCCACTGTAACTACATCGCCAAAAAGGCATTAAGAGTTGTTAACCTAATCTTACGTAGCTTTTTCTCTGGTAATATTACACTACTAACTAGAGCATACAAAACATTTGCTAGACCAATACTCGAATTCAGCTCATCAGTCTAGAACCCACATTACGTATCTGATATTAACACAGTTGAGAAAGTCCAGAAATATTTCACAAGAAGAGTTCTCCACTCCTCTACTCATTGTGGAATACCTTATGCTACCAAACTCAAAATTCTAGACCTAGAAAACCAAGAACTACGCCGCCTTCGGTCCAATCTAAGTATAGTATATAAAATCATACATTGCAATGTCCTACCAGTCAATGAATACTTCAGCTTCAACCATAACAATACAAGAGCAAACAATAGATACACACTCTAGGTTCATCGCACCAAACTTGATTGTAGGAAATATGACTTCAGCAACAGAGTGGTCAATGTCTGGAATACTCTACCTGACTCTGTGGTTTCTTCCACAAACCCCCAAAACTTTAACCTTAGACTTTCTACTATTGACCTCACCCCTTTCCTAAGAGGTCTATAGGGGGCATGCATAAGCGCACCAACGTGCCTACCATCCCTGTTCTATTGTTTCTTTTATTTTTCTTATATGTATCCATGTTTTCCTAACTATGTTTTTACTTATACCTATTATCTTGTAAGCAACTGACAAACCAAATAAAATAAATAAATAAAACTGCTTTGGACTTTCCCTTCACTAGTTGGGAAGGAAAAATGAGCCAACACTGCTCCAAAAATAGTATAATAATGATGTATCTGGTGATAAGAATGCAATATTTCCTCAATTTATCTAAAGAACCAAGAGACTTAGTGCCAGGGCATAGGAAAGACATGGCAGAGTGTTCATATCACATTGAAAAGATCCTGACTTTTAGCTCTCTCTCCACTTGTTCTTCCTGTAGTTGGGATTCCAAACCAGAATCTCATGTTGAACACAGCATGCAAGATAGCAATACAAGAGGAGATAGTTTATAAGGTGTCCATAGTCACCATTTAGAACAGTGTGTTTCAACATTACAGCTTTAGGACATGAAGATTCCAACTCCCAGAATTCCCCAGCCAGTATGCCCACATCTTAATGTTGCCAAGTTTGAAAAACATTGATTTATAGCTTTCAAGGTAGCAATGTCAAGGGAACGGTGATCAGTATAACCTCTTTATACCTTACATCTCTTTATACCTTACATCTCAAAGATCTAGCAAAGTAAAGATTTTTTAAAACCTTATAAATAAAAATTATACATTAACATATAATTTATACAGAGGAGCAGACTCATAGTCATAATATAGACTATTTATGCAATATTAGTGCAGGCAGTCCTCGACTTTTTTTGTTAATCATTTAATTAAACAAAACAATTAAAAACATTGAACATAGTGAAGTCAGTTTGACATGATTTTGGGTCAATATCGCATATATTCTTATAAACAATTATTCAACTATACACATATATACATTTGTTCATTCATACAATACATTTCTAACATCATTCGTCTTCTTTTCATCTCATCCAGTCATCTACCCTTTCAACCACTCCTTTCCCAACTTAAGACCTTCCTTTCTGCTCCCACCAATGATAGAATTTGTCCCAAATTGCATAGTATGCCGATTCATCTTTGTTTTTCATTTCTAGAGTTAACTTGTCCATTTCAGCGCATAGAAAGCTTTTGTTTATTACTTCTTCTTCATTTGGTATAACTGCCTCTTTCCAGTTCTGGGCAAATGTTATCCTTGCTGCAGTAATAATGTGTATAATCAAATAATGCTCGACTTATGATCACAGTTGAGCCAAAAATGTATGTTGCTAAGTGAAAAATTTGTTAAGTGAGCTTTGCCTCATTTTTATGACTTTTCTTGCCACATTTGTTAACTGAATCATTGCAGCTTTTAAGTGAGTAACATGGTTGTTAAGTGAATCTGGCTTCCCCATTGAGTTTGCTTATCAGAAGGTTGCAAAAGGGGATTACATGACTCCGGGACCCTTCAACTGTCATAAATGTGAACTAGTTGTCAAGCATCCAAATGTAAATCACATAACCATGCGAATGCTGCAACAGTCATACGTGTGAAAAATGGTCAAAAGTAACCTTTTTCAGTGCCATTGCAACTTCGAATGGTCACTAAACCAAATGTTATAGGTAGAGGACTATCTGTAACTGAATTTATTGTTCTTCCCCTCCTTCTGATTTTTTTTCTCCCATTCCTTTTCCTTTTTTTATTGTGTTCTGTTTTACCAGGTACATGTACGTTACTCTGAAAGTCTTTCTGGATGAAAAAGATAAACTGCTTTTGATAAATGAATAAATATGCATTTAAAAGCAACAAAATATTATTGAGAACTTCATAACCTTCTCCGAGGGGTGTAAACACACTAACCTAGGCACCAGTTGAAGAAGGAAATTCCAGAATTTGGTGCCATACTACAGATATCTTCTCCACCTACCTGCCTAAGGCTAGGAACGGAGCAGATATCTGATTAAGATATTATTTAATAAGCAGGTTTGTTTGAAAAAGGCATTCATTCAATGCCTTCAGATCTGTCTACTTGTCCATAGCCTTAAAAGGTAAAGTTCTGTTTTTAAATTAACCCCAGAAATGAATCAATAACCAGCATGACTCTTTTATAATTGGCATGCTCACAACAGTCATTTACAAATTACTTAATTTTATAGCAGTTGTAGTTTCTGGAAATTTTTCAGGAGACCATATCTCCTACAGTAGATTATAATTTATCCATGTTCTGCAGTTGTGAAATTTATCTTTTATATTCTTTCAAAGTAAATCACAACAGAAGCAGAAATTTATAAAGAAAAAAAATGGCCCTGGAAAAGTTTTACCTATGAAAGAGATTACATTAATGATGTGTGTGTGTGTGTGTGTGTGTGTGTGTGTGCATTGTGATATTAAATTTCACAAAATGTTGGTGTTCTCACCTGAGATACAAAGTCAGAGTATTAAATAATGTTCGAGTTTGGCAATGCCTCTGAAATTTCTGCTATTTTTATGCTTGGACAAAAATGGGACCAAGGGAATTATGTTAAGAATCTGTCAGTACACACAAACAGCTTACCAATTCTTCCCACAAAGTTACATATAATGGTAACATAGAAATTATAGTAAATTATAGTATAGAAATTATAATAGCAAGGAAAAGTTTTATCGTTCTTTATCAAATCCTTGAAAATGAGTATCCCTCTTTGGTAGGACTGTCATATTTGGACTCCCCAAATCTGGACAACCACTAGCTCCAAAGATCAATGGTTTCACTGCAGAGAAAGACCCTAGAAGTAGTAGTTACTCACCAATTTCAGTTGGAAGGGGCACCTGTGACAGGGCCTCTTCTGATGTCCTCAAGGATTGGGGAGGTACATATGTGATCTTTCCTTCAAATCTCTCTTCAAAATGGCTTCCTACATTCATAAAGGGAGAAAGTCAAAGTCACTCATCTGAACATACTGAAGCATGTTTTTAAAGACAGAAGTCTTGTATAAAAACCTACACATTATATGGTTATGGATTAATATATTATATGGAAATTATAGTATGAAATCCTTATACTGGAAGATTCATTCTTCCTATTACAAAAGCATGATCATCATGGAAGGTCAGCAGCATTTAACCCAAGCATTAAAAAAAATTTAAAATCAATGAATACTACAATACAGCATTGAATATTAAGAAGCAATAAACTTTGCAATGAGACAATGAAGATGCATTTATGGGATAGATAGGACATGTAAGAAGAGATGGGAGAGGATTTTTGTGGTTAGGGAAATCCAGTGAGAAAATTCTATCTATGCTACCTATTAAAAGCCTATGTCAGAATAACAGTGGTAATACCAGGATGAATGGATCTGTAATATCTGACTTGCAAATTCATTTCTACCAAGATAATCAAAGCTAATCAAAAAAGGGAGGTAAGTTTTTCAAAGCCATCGGATGTTTGTTCACCTGTATTTATTTGCTGGTAAGTTTTATTTACATAAATGCATTTCAAATTTCAAAACGTCAGGTCCTGAGTTAACAAAACAAAAAGTTAAGATTCCTTGAGCTTAATTCCTTCAAGTTGAGCTTAATTCCTACTGACAGCATAGAAACCTCCATGCGCTATATCACCTTTGGTTTTGCTTTTGTTTCTACTTCTTATCTAATACAAATAGCTCAAATGTATTGATTAGTTTTATACACATTTCAAAACAATCCAGTTCAAACAAGCAGAAACAGAACTTTGAAGTAATATTGAAGAAAGCAAACAAGCTTTAGGAACCTATATAAGAATATTTATGTCTGAAAATGAAAGTATGTACTACTAACTTATTTTCATAACTGAGATGTGATCTTAAGATAAAGAGCAAGTTCATTTAAACAATCTTTCAAATAACCACCATTTTAAATTGGACCTGAAACCATATTGGTAATTATCTATTCAGAAGGGGTGTGTCATGAACCATCAATCTGGCTTCAACAAGGAGTTGAGCAGTTTCCTTCTCAAACATATAAAATTCCAGGGCCATTTTAAAATAAATTCTCTTGCCACCCACATACATACACACATACACACTAAGAACAATATTGACCTTGTTCCCTAAATTCAACCCACAGAGGCCTCTACAAAATGTCATGGCAAATGATATCAGAAGTCAGTTTAAGAAAGTTGAATTTGCCAATGTCAGTTATCCCCAAGGTGGCCTATGCAATTTGAATTCACAAACCAAGTCTAAAACAGAATAGAACAGAGTAAAATAATCAAAATCCAACAAAAATGCCAGAATTAAAGATGTTGGTACTGCCTCAAAAGCATCCTGCTTTCATTTGGCAGTCATGATCCTATCTTGAAGAGTCTAAATTTTTTAAGATAGGCTTAACTCTTGCATTTTTAATTCCCTTTTCTATTAGCATAACAAAAAGCCCTTTTTATTTCTTCCTACTTTGAGCCACATTTCCTTTTTGTGCTTTAGCATTTATAACCTGTCAAGGACATTAATTACTTGGAAATTATAGCCACTGCCCATATCCTATAAATGTCTCTTAAATTTTTTATCTTGGTTTATCTCCTGTTGCATTCACAAAGGTTCCCAAAGTTTATTTGTTCATTAAATTTGTATGCTGCCAAATTGAGAAGTATAAATAACATCCTGCACAAATTGAATAACACTAGTTGGGGTTTGGCAATGGCCGAACTACAGGTATCTGCATTCAGCTTGATTTGTTCAGTAGCAAAGTATTGTACCCCAGTATGGCTTAATAGCCTGTACACAAACAAGATTGATAACACTTGCAAGAGTCAATGCAGATTGTTAATGTGATAATCCAAATTACTCGCAAATTCTGGCTGCCTATTCTGAACCACCACTCCCAGAAGTAATAAAAAATGGCCTCTTCCAAGAACACCTGAAGATTATTGACAGCTCCCAGCTACTAATGATGAGCACTGTACCCTGCCTGTAGCGAAACAGGTTGAGATTCAGATATCCATTTATTTCTATTGCTAAAGTATTTGTAGAAGATGATTTTGACATATAGAATATGTGGAAAAAACATTGTATAGAAAATTGTCCCCCACACCACAATGTCAATATTTGCCTTGCATCTTGAAAAAAACAGCTGGGTTTAATCAGCCCCATGCGAGATGGACAACACTGAACCGAATTCACGCTGGCAATGGAAGATGTGCTGACTATCCTCTATAAGTAGGGCAAAATAGCATAATCAGATTGTGACTGTGGGACCGGAAATTTCAAACTATCCAATGTATAGTGACAGCCAAAACAGAGCCTATAATGGAGATCTTACTGATTTCCTGGCCATGACAAATGAAGCAAAAATTATATCTGTAATCTAGACGTATGTTTATAATATTTTAGATTTTAGAATTCAAAGTTTATAATATTATCTCTTGTGCTTTTTAATTGAAATGGAATGTGAATATCCTGCCCATTTCATTATATAAGTGACTCTGGGCAGTTCTCAGAGGGTTTCTCTACATACACAGACGCACATACACGCACACACACACACACACACACACACACTTTCTTCTTCTCACTGGAATGTGTCCAGAGGAACTTCCAGTGGTTTATTTTTTAGAAGTTACTAAGCCTTCTCTGCTCCTTTTAAATTGAGAATTTCTGTTCATGAAATCTCATCTATTATTTTCTCTAAACTGGTTGAAATAGCTGTCCCAAGGTTTAGTGTGTATATCATATTTATGATTATGTATTTAATTTATTTGCCACCCATTTTGCCATAAGGAAATTGCAATACTCTGATTTCCTTTTTCCTATGATATCTTGAACTCCAACATATGATCATTTCATCAAAAAAATTCCCATTCTTTTTGATACTTCAACAAGCTCTCCCCTTTGATTAGAAGCAGACAGTTAATTCTCTTGTCTCCTCTTTAAAAGTCTCTTCAAGAAACTAATCAGGATTTTTTCTTTCTCTAAAAGATGAAACAGCAAGATAATTGAGGAATTTTGAGGATTTTGCAGTCTTGGCTGAGATGATTTTCCAATATATGTTTGGATAGTTTTTTATGACTCTGTAATCCCTTGCTTTGGGATTCGGTCAGGCGACCGAATGGAGCTGAGTGTTTACTGGTCAGATGCCTTTCCTAATGCCTACATAGAGTTTACAACAGGTATTTTCTCTTTGCGTCCTGACAGAAATACATTTGCCACTGCCTAGGATTGAACTCTCAAACTTCTGAGTGGGAAAAGAGCATTTTCAGCCTCTAGGCCACCATGCTGTTCATGTCTGAATAGTTTATTAATATGTTTCCCTTCCCTGAGAATTCTGTAACAAGCTCCAAGGGACATCATTTACAATGTTGTATACCACTGTGACTTTATTAGACTGTGCAGGATCAAATCTGAAAAATAAATCTTCTACCCAGCTTGGTTGTCTGTTGTATACAATCTTTAATGTTTCCCTTTGCCTATATTCTTATCCAAGAAAAAACTGGTATATCACCACAATTTGTAGAACATTCTCATCTATAACACATAACTCTTGCAATAAGAGTTAATAAGTTAACTCCTGCAATAAGCATTATATATTATTGCTTTGAGTTGACTGCATGGTAAAGTTGCAGTTTAGCAACTAATATGCTTTATTATAAGGCTGATTTGTGGATAGGAGCTGTTGTGCTTGTTCAAGAATTAATTATTATTGACTTCAAGAAGCATCCTTACTCAATATCACGTAATACATACAACTTACTGATACAGAACAACAAATGTGCGTATTACAGCACTACAGCAAAGAACAATTAACTTAACCAGTTCCCAATTAAACCAATTTTGAACGTCCTACTCTCCAAACATTTGCTGTGAGGAGGGGGAAAAGAAATGACTAATGACTATAAAACTATATTCATGAAGAGAGACAAAAATAAACTTCTAAGAAGACTGCAACTATATATAGCACATTCAAAATGCCTAGAGATGGGTTAGATTACAGAGCTGTCACTCTACTCAAGAAGACAACATGGCTTACGATATTAAATCATTCTTCTTTAGGAGCTGAGGGGGAAAAAAGCACAATTTCTAGCTGTTGATCTGACTGCACATTTTATTGTTAAAACACAATGTGACATATCTATTTCAAATGAAGAAGCATATGGATTTTAATACTTTGAGAAATTCAATTTCCAGTTGTATCCATTGCTAACCCTCAGTAATAGTGTTACAAACTTTGTGAGTGTAAAGTTAGGTTTGTTTTATGTCTGAAGGTTTGTTTGTTTTTTTGTAGGAAATAATGAAGAGAAGCTCAAAAAGACTTCCACAAATTTCATAAGTTATTTCTATTTGCAAATGACAGACACATTCTTCTCAGCAACTATTGGAGATCTCAGATACACATGGTAACTTACAAAAATTAGTTCAGGACTGCTGGTGGAAAAGAGTGATGCCTCACAATTCTGAACTTGGATAGAGCAGGGGAAATACCACTGCTCTTACTTTGCCTTCAAAAACGTCCAGTGTACTGCTTAGCTCAGAGCTGATGTTCAATTAAGCTAAATCTAGAAGTTTAGCAAGATGTGGATCAACTACATTGAGAAGCTTTTGCATTATTTCCAGAGATGATCAATGTGTAGCTATACTTCTTAGATCCTCTTGATCACAGCAGGGATGGGAATGATGGCCTCAAGATGAGATGATGGTTATCTATACAAGACTGATCCAGCAAGCAATCAGATGAGGGTAAAGAATGGGATGAGATGCCTAATCTAAGTGAGAACATATGTCTAGAGCTGTCTTCAATACAATCTTACTGTTCTAATATTCCCATGTTTTATCCGAACTGCAGAGAAGCTCTTCAATTTCTAGTTGCTTCTGTTGCAATTTGTCCAAAACAAAACAGAGGTTGCAGAATACCAACTCTCAACCCCACATCTCTGATTCTGGAA